CCAGCTAACGAACTTTCAGACAATCCTGAATGCTGGGGTCGCCAGCTGGATGAGGAAGATCGAGAGGGCAACATTTGGGATCTTGGGTCTCGTGCGTTTGGGATTGTGGTTCGGATGCTCATAGGTCCTCCAATGCGCGAAACATTCAGCTTATTGTCAATGGCGGGGTCGTTCTTCCTAATTACATTCTTTGCGGGAACGGTCTGCTGCGATGCGTGGGATGTATTCACAGGGACCATCGGCCTTGGTGGTAATGGAGGACCTTGATTCCCTTGGGATAGAGAAGTATTTTTTTGCAGCTCTGGCTGCGGTAACTGTAATACGGCCTTGCCAAGTGAGCTGGAAAGCAGAGACGGGCCCGTATGCTCCTTCCTTTGCGGGCCAACTGACCCGTTGGAGACAACATCCCTATGCCCAAGGGGATCTGTAAACGGCCGGGTCGTATCTGTAACAAGCGAAGATACCCCTTTAGCAGCGCTATCCTGCTGATCGTGAACGCCATTGCTCCTGGCCACATGCGATAAAACACTTGAAGCAGAGGTTTCGTGATTGGGACCTTGCTTGGGATCGTTTTGGCGCGCTGGTGAGTTAACCGCTCGATTTCCCTTCGATGGTATTGCTGGTGGAGGCCTCACCGTGGATTTCCCCACAGCTAGTTGGGCGGCGATCTGCTGGGGACCAACCGGTTCAGGATGGAGACTGGATACGGTTTGTGATAATGTGGACCCTTGGGTTTCATTAAACTGTTTAATCCGGACTCCCACTAATCCCGTAGAGCTACGAACAGCAGTGTCCTGCTGCATGGGCTCGCCATCCAGGGTGCCCAGATCCATCATGGCAAGTGTCCTCGGATGCCTTGTGCCGTTCGCAGATCGTGGTGTAGTGACAGTGTTCATTCCTTGTGCACCGAAGGCTAATGACGCTCCAAGGAGAGCAGCAGATTGAACGTTGGGTTTGGACGGGACTGGCGGCCGATGTTTGGGCCTTTGCGAACCTGCCTCTCCCAGGCCCAAGTCGCGATTTAGATCGCCAGCCATGCTAGGATCTGATTGGTAGCCACTCAATGATTTTTCTGGCTCTCTGTTTGCGGTTCCGAAGTTATTTGATATTAGATTTCCGTAATTGAGAAGTTCAAGTTTCATAAACTCCTTGTATAACGCTGCGTATTGCCCAGGCAGGTCGACAAAGCATCATGCCCTCGAGGCAGTCAAGTTTCCTTCAGTACGTTGCATTGAGAGTTTTTCAGTGGTTGTTGATGGGTCGTTGATACTAGCAAAGTTACCCAGAGACTAGTTCTCAACTCTGGCCTCTCAGCCCTACAGAAGCCCCATCTGACAGAACCATATCAAATCGGGTTAGTCAACGAAGTCGAAAATTTTTATTCTCGAACAACCACTATTATTTGGGCTATAACAACGGTTTCGATATGATGTACTCCGGACTGTACATATATTTCTGGGTACTCGCGATCCCTCCTCTCTATCTTCAAGTAATAAGAATGAAGAGGTGCCCGAGAAAGGGCCACAGCTAAAGAATACTTGTAAATATATACTTGTGAGCAAGAAAAATTCCCCCGCGCCCGGCACACAAGCTGGGTTTTGATGCTTTCATTTATCTCGGCACCAGCCTACCCTCTGCTCAATTCCGCCGTCAGAACGTATGACTCCTAGTACGTTTAGGAAATATGATATTTTACACATCTCCTTCCCCAAGAAGGTATCAACTGGCCGATGCAAGGTGCCTCGCCGCGTCTCATTGACCTGGGCCATGACTGCAGGATTACCGAGAGCCTGCACTGAAGAAATTTCTCCACACACTCCGCCTTCAGAACTCTGACCCTTCAGGACGAAGTTGTGTACGGTTACCGGGAGCTGTAGACAAGAAGTCACGTCATTTGGTCCTTTTTGTAGTGCTCATGGCTTGAATGAATAATAAGTTAGATATATCCTGTTGAAAAACATTCATATGTATTACCCTCTAACGAGGAAGCGCCTCGTACATGAATTCTCCAAACGCCACAGTTTCTCAAAAAGGTGATTTTTCAATGATCTACTCCATATCTACAAATTAGAGATATGGGCATGGAAATTAGTGGATATCAAAAAGTACCAATTGTCCCAGCAAATAGATTTGTTGGGCTATGCTCATTCGAAGTCATAAGATGCATCCCGTTAATTCATTAACAAACCAACCATTTTCTTCTCGGATGCTTCTCTATGAATTCCAAGGTAGTTGTGTATTTTCTATTTGGGATTGACGTCAAGACATCTCTTACTCGAGGGACAGCCCACTTTTCGGAACCTTTGGCCTAAGGCAACTCAAACCACTGCTTATCATGGCTAATACAACATTAGGGATCAGGTTTATGTTGCGCTTATAGTTAACTAACTACCTAAGTAAGTTAGTGAACTGTATTAGTAATACCAGGGGGCTCCGGCAAATCTTGGCGAAGCCTCAGCTAAGATAAGATAAGCTTAGCTCAGCCGGTGACATCAGATCACGTGCACATAGTGCACCCTTCGCGTGTGCTGCCTGGAGCATGAGAAGGCAGCGGTTGAGCCAGCGGATGATCCAGCGTCATGACCCCAGAGTGGTGTTGGGCAGAGCGCTCAGTTCTCCTCTTGATCCTCATATTTTCAAATGGATTCGGATGGAGAAGGCGAGCCAAACGGTTCAAGACAGCAAGACTCGACCGCGAATGACTTGGACGAGAAGTAAACATCCCCAAATGCCGCCCCGGAAAATGCCCACTAACATGTGCCTAGATATCCCAATCCTCCTCGCAACCACTCACCTACCTTGCCATTTCATGATTTATTCCTGACCCTGTTTAACCCTCTCAATGAGAACAAAAAACGTCCAACCGGCCCAGCGGCTGCCCGAAGAAAGGTGGGTCCTCATGGACAGGGCGCTGCTGTCCACCTGAGCCCACAAGAGCGGCGAAGGGACATAATTCAGAGGTTCATTTCGCGATGGCGGAAAGAAGTGGGCGACGACATATTTCCTGCATTTCGGTTGATAATTCCTGAAAAAGACCGAGATCGTGCCATGTATGGATTGAAGGAGAAAGCCATCGGAAAATTGCTTGTGAAAGTTATGAAAATTGATAAAAACTCGGAGGATGGATTTAGCTTGTTGAACTGGAAGGTGCCAGGCCAGAGCTTTGCGAGTAGAATGGCTGGCGATTTTGCTGGTCGCTGTTTCGAAGTCATATCAAAGAGGCCTTTGAGGACCGAGGTAGGTGATATGACAATCGATGAAGTCAATGAGCAGCTAGATAAATTGTCCGCAGCCTCGAAGGAGGATGAGCAGGTGCCTATTCTCGCGTATTTTTACCGAAGGATGAACCCTGAGGAGCTGATGTGGCTTATACGGATTATTCTACGGCAAATGAAAGTCGGTGCCACAGAACGGACATTTTTCAGCATCTGGCATCCGGATGCAGAGGCATTGTTTAGTATCTCTAGCAGCCTTCGGCGAGTTTGTTGGCAACTTTATAATACTGATGTTCGTTTGGAAGGGGATGAAACAAAAGTCACTCTTATGCAGTGTTTTCAACCCCAGCTCGCTCAGTTTCAAATGCAATCTTTTGAACATATGATCAGAAGGATGAGGTTGACTGAGGACGACCCAACCTTTTGGATTGAGGAAAAGCTTGACGGGGAACGCATACAGCTTCATATGAAGCCGGACGATTCAATACCTGGAGGCAAGAGGTTTGGCTTCTGGTCTCGAAAGGCCAAGGAATATACGTATCTGTACGGCAATGGGTTGTTGGATGAAAATGGGGCACTCACAAGGCATCTTCAAGACGCTTTTGCAGATGGTGTTCAGAGCATCATTCTAGACGGAGAGATGATCACATGGGACCCAGAGCACGACGCGATTGTCCCTTTCGGGACTCTTAAGACTGCCGCATTGGCTGAGCAAAGAAACCCATTCTCGACAGGACAGCGGCCTCTATTCCGTATATTTGATATCCTTTACCTGAACGGCCGACCGCTCACAAGATACACCCTGAAGGACCGCAGAAAAGCACTTGAAGCAAGTGTGATTCCTGTACATCGCCGTTTTGAAATCCACACATATGATATTGGCCACAGTGCCACTGATATCGACCCCTTACTCCGGAAGGTAGTCGCGGAGGCATCTGAAGGTCTTGTTCTTAAAAATCCCAACTCTCCTTATCGACTAAACGAACGTCACGACGACTGGATGAAGGTTAAGCCCGAGTACATGACTGATTTCGGTGAATCTCTTGATTGCATAGTAATCGGCGGATATTACGGTTCTGGCCGTCGAGGTGGCGCCCTATCAAGTTTCCTATGTGGACTAAGGGTCGATGGCTCGCACTCCAAAACGGGTGATCACCCTACAAAATGCTATTCATTTTGCAAAGTGGGAGGAGGTTTTACTGCTGCCGATTATGCCAATATTCGCCATCATACCGATGGGAAGTGGATGGATTGGGATCCAAAACGACCACCCACTGAATACATCGAGCTTGCTGGAGGTGACCTACAGTATGAACGCCCTGACGTATGGATAAAGCCCGAGGATTCGGTTGTTCTATGTGTAAAGGCCTCATCCGTTACCTCAACTGACCAGTTTCGCCTTGGCCTTACTGTGCGATTCCCGCGCTTTAAACGACTTCGTATGGATAAGGACTGGCGAAGTGCCTTGTCGATCCAGGAGTTTATGGACCTTAAGTCAAATGTCGAAAGGGAAGTGAAAGAAAAGGAATTCAAGGTTGACGACTCTCGCAAAGTGCGGCACAGGAAGGCTATCAAAAAGCCGCTGACGATTGCCGGTTATGACGGAGGCAAGAAGCTTGAATATGTTGGTCCTTCTGGGACATTGTTTGATGGACTCAATTTTTGTGAGTGTCATCAGTTCTTTACGTTTTCGATTTTGGATGATATACTCACATAACCATACTCTCACTAGTTATCATGACCGAATCAGTTCATCAGCCGAAGAAAACCAAGGCTCAACTGGAACAACTCGTGAAAGCCAATGGCGGTAAGATATATCAGACGAATAATGTTGCTGAAAACACAATTTGCATCGCCGATCGCAGTAAGTTTAAGACGATATATATTTGAGTACGTCGTATGAGCAGGACTTAGGTTAACGCATCCCAGGAACCGTGAAAGTAGCTTCGCTTCAGAAAAACGCGAAAGAGAACGTCATCAGGCCATCATGGCTATTTGACTGCTTAACACAAAACGAGAGGGATCGTGATCTTCCGGACCTGCTTCTTCCACTGGAACCAAAGTTAGTTCATGTCCCACGTTCCAGCTCTTCCCCTTCTCGTTGTATCCAATCTCTAATCGCTCTCTTTCAACCTCACAAGACACATGTTTTTCACAACAGCAGATCAGGAGGAAGAAATTGCAGAACACGTAGATAAATATTCCGATAGCTATGCCCGAGATATCGATGCCTCGGAACTCAAAAAGGTCATTTCCATTCCATATCCCAGTGTTCTATTCATTTAATTTCTTTCCCTTTTTTCTTTTTTCAGGTTTCAAGAACATCTCCCTAATATAAAGTCAAATGGGAACTAACCATCCCCACAGCTCCTCGACAGCATGCACCCAGCCCCCGCGCTGCCACCTTCCAGTCTCTCCGAGCTAGAATCCCAACTTGAATCCCACAGCCTGAACGAACGAAAACCAGCAACCCCAACAATATCCAACACCTCAACATGCCCCGGCTGGCTTTTCAAAGGACTAGTCATATACTTTGCCATGCCCCCGTCCCTGTCGAACGAGGGAAACGGCAAAATACCACACGTTCTGCCACAACGTCTCTACCTCGCTTCCAACCTGGTAAAGTTCGCCGGCGGCGAAGTCATCACGGACGACGATGGCGACATGAAGGATGCGCGCATCACGCATGTTGTCGTTGACAGTAATCCGCCCGGTGACAAGGCAGCTATGGCAGCGGCGGACGTTGCTGGCATCAGGAGGGCAATTTCATCCCGTGCTGGGGTTGGTAAAAGGATTCCGCATATTGTTGGGGTTGAGTGGGTGGAGGAGAGTTGGGGGGAGCGGACGTTGGTTGATGAGGAAAGTATGTAAATGGAGTACATCCTCTCTTGCAACCACCTGTTTTCATCCGTATAGAAATTTGGACATTGGACACGAAATGCTAATATATCGGTTGTGTTTTCATTCAGGATTTACACCAAAGTGAAAAGGTTGTCCTGCTGTGTGCATACATGCATTGGAGGTGCGGAGCGCAAAAATGGCTTTTGAAGTAAGAACAGGCTCCCCTTAACGGAGACTTCCTTGCTCGCTCCATGACCTATTTTCCATCGGAAGGAAAGAGAATCAAGCTGTTCGCTGTAGCCAAAGGTATCCGGATATCGCATACATATTTTGGAATAGCTGATGGGTCTGGATTACGATGTTTATAATGTTATGATACAAGCCCTTTGAATATAAGTCGGCATAATTTTGCCATGGGCAGTAAGGCTGTAGCACCTGTCGTATAAAACCCCTCTGGGAAATTTGGTTGCAAAAACGAGATTGTAGAGCGTTCATCCTTTACAACACAATAAGATATATTAGCAATATGACCTTTTGGGTTTCGCCTGCATCCTCAGGACTCCCAAACCGGCCATTCCCATGTTTAGAACCAGATACGTAGTACTATTAGCAAACCCTGCCTGCCTTATGATGGTTATGGTTGAGCTGTTGCACTGCCCAAACAGCACTGGAAAAGATATACATATGTGAATACATAAGAAGTAATGATCGAGTGCATTACACTTAGATATAATTATTTAACTAAATAATGAGATATATAGATCTGGGAAATAATTCTAATAATCAAATATATAAGTTTTAACAACACAACAATGTATACAAGTATAAGTAAATAATAGTGCACTATTATCATTGCTGTCATCTTGGCCACGAATGACTATGCCAATCAAGTAATTCTTAAGAATTGCTGAAAATTCGACCCCAAGTGCACACGCACTCTTGGTCTTATTACAAAGCCTGACTATCTACAGGCCAGCTGTGGAAGTGAGAGAGTATGCCTTGATCTGGCGCAGAATTGAGATACATATCTACTTCAAGCTTGGATGACACTTTTTCAGGAATTGCGGTGATGGCAAGCATCAACTGTCTTTTGTGGAGTGTAAGCTGAAGGAGAGAGTGTTCTTCAGCATTGGGACCTACAAGGCTCTTCGTCAACATATAAAAGGCATCAATTCTCTCCACAAATGGCTGAGCCAACTGCTCTTCCATCACCTAAGGCGGGAACTACCAATTCTCAAAGAGGAGCATGACAACATGGCAAGAACTGTTTGCATGGAGCTTCAGTCTATTGGCAAAAGCCATATACCACACTGGTTGATCAACGTGCCTACCTAGTGGATCTTTTCGGCTCGGCGTACGATACAGGTGTGATGGGGTTGAATGGAGATTACATGGAGGTCTTCTTTGGTGGCATCAATATCAACGCACCCGTTGATGGGGAAGACAATTCTCATTGGCTAAGAGCAGTGATCCAACATCTAAATATCCAGTTTGCGGAGCCCATGCATCGGCGTGGGCACATATATTACATTGAAGGAAATGAGGCAGATGCACCACTGATTGCAGAGGAAGAGTCAGATGTCCCTCAAAGATCGACCCGGAAGACAGCCAGTAAATGGGTGGTTCGTATATTGGAACAAAGCCATGGTCGCGAAATCCGATGCTACTAAATCATTTGTTTTGGGACCAATCCAAGGGTTTGGGCATTATAGCAATGGATGTGATCACATCGACACGGTTGCTGTCACATGTAAAGCTTTCTGGTTCCATGTTCTGGACCATGTTGTTGCTCTAGATTTCAAACCCCGATTTCTGAGCTTGACAGTTGTTCTGGCCCACAGTATGGAGCCGTGGCACGCTAAACCCGGGATCCTGTGAGATCATAGTTGGATTGCCTAGGATACGGTCGATATGGATATTCCCTTGCGGTAGGGGGATGGTTCCAATTTTCAAGGCCAATGCTACCATTTTCGAGAGGACAACGGTTTGAGTGTGCTTCCATGCATTCTCAGCCACATAGATCCCCCAATGGTACTCAACCGCAGCAACTGAAAGAAGAAGATAAATCCCGTTGGCTTCTCCATGGTGGTATGGGATTGATGGGATTGTAGTGTGGGGTGAGATGGGATAGATCGAAAACGCTGAAACTGTCGATTGAAAATGCGATGAGCTCGGGGGGTAAAGCCCACCAGAGTTATCGGAACAAATGAGATGTATGAACAGAGATGATGAAGACAGAAAAGGGCTGGACTTTGAAGAATTGGCAATGAAGTATGCCGCGAAAGGGGGCAGTGGATATAGGGTTCTGGATACTGAGGGCAATAGTTGAGTATAAGATTGGAGAATTGATTCTGGTTCTGTTGGTTTGGATTTGAAGACATCCATAGATGAGGGCAAAGTTAAGGGGCTTTATAGGCGATCCACGCGAGGCAGCCCATGACTCTCCCGTCGGTTGTCATCGTTTGGTACCATGTACAGAAGAAAGGAGGGCGCAGTCCTCCCCAGAGCTGCCATCCGTACACAACATAGCACGCCTTGCTGTACTCCTAATACTCAAGATACCACCAACCTGCAAATTCCAAATCAACAAACCCAGATAACCTACCACTATGTACCAGCACGTTTCCTGGCTTGAGATCCGCATGCATGAATAAACACGGTATGACTGGGAATATACCTCCGCAATCAGAGCTCTATCAGCGTCTTCTGGAATCGGGCTTAGAGATAGGCTTGTTCAGATCCTCAATTTTTGTCATAGGAGTCCGTTCCCCGCCATTGTCATGGTCAATTCAACAATCACGATGCTCTCCACCAAGTGGGCTGCAGATAATATGGGAATAGAGATTTAGGATAGATCGAATTTTGCTCCACATAGTTAACCCTTAAAATCAATGCTGAACTGCTCTAGTTGTTCCGCATCCATCAACGGGAGGCATTTTCCCACAAAGTGACCCATGATGTGAGTGGTCAACATCTAACACTCTTCTGCTGCTGGGCACAGATGCTTCAACTTGATCAATTCAAGAATCCAAGGTGCATTTAATGTTGTGTGTTTTGCAACCAATTCAAGTGCACGCACTTAGTTCACGAGACGCTGAGATAGGCCCCATTTGAAGTATAGATTGAAGAGTAGCTGTTGACCATCAAGCACACTGTAAGTCCCGGTACCATAGAGGTATGCACCAATTGTTCTGAGAAGGTGATAGAGAAAGAAACAAGCGGATTGAGGGACAAGATGGTCTCGTAGAGTTGAAGTATTCTCAAGGGCAGCTGAGACGATTCGCTGGAATTAACAAAACCATGGGTGACAATGAGGTGGAAAGGGAAAATTTTTATGTAAATACCTGGCCCATATTTTCAGAAGATATTTACATTGCTCTCCACCGAAAGAAAACCTTTTTAGCTGGGCCAACCGCTGAAAATTGCTTTTCCCCTTTTTGTGTCAAAGCAGCAGCTATTGTTCCAAAGCAAACTGAAATTAAATCGGGGCTTTCCAAGGAAACAACGGTCCCAAGGCCAAATGCTGCTGAGCAACATTTCTCTCTCAGTGGTTATCTCAGTTGACTCGGCCTCTCTGCTCCAAATTTAACTAGAATTAGTGTAAACAAGAATGAGCTTACGCTAACCTCTGAGTCAATGAGAGCAACCATATTCAACAAAATCTCATTGAGAGTTCGAGAGAAAACAGTTAATAGTTTATATGAGAATATGAAATAGTCTTGTTATATAATTAATAAATTTGAATTCTTCATTTCTATACTTATCCAAAACCAAACTGCTCTACTCTTGAAACACCCGACCGCAATCAAGATGCCGTGACGAAAGCTTTTTTTGAAAAATATATATTTTGGAAAAAAAAAAAATATATATTTAGGTCAAGGTAAAAGCAAAGGGAAGCAAACAACATGGCATGGACCTTTAAGATTTGTGGACCAAGAGTCATTCATACGAGACAAGTAATAAGGGCAGGGAGAAAAAAAAAGAAATGAACAAGTCATCCTAGATCATCCATGGATATTGGAATCCACCTTCGCGGAATCTTGCGGCTCGTATATCCTGCCCCACCTGTCCCCACATAGAGCCCCGCAGAAGAAGAAGGTGATAATGGTAATGACAACCCCATCATCACCTTTCTCGGCGGAAGCCAGGGCTTTGCTCGACCGGGGACGTCACTGCGTAGTTTACCACGGCGTTGCATGTTCATTTCCAAGACGACGATTCGAAGAAAATCGCCGTTCTCTCTGGGCTCTCTATGCCGTGGAAGGTGGAATCGTGGACGGTCATCGTCATCGTCATCGTCGTCTTCGTATTCTCTATCTTCTTCGTCTTCTTCATCTTCATCTTCATCTTCCACTTCGTCTTCCTCATCGTTCACATCTTCGTCTTGGCAGTCAAGGTCGGATTCATAGCCATTCTCAGTCGCGGCTGGGAGATATACACATTTTCTGCGTCTTTTCTTGACCGTTGACAAGTTGTATGTCTGCATTTGAATGCACGCTGTACATCTGGTGGGTTCAACAGGAGTTCCTCGTGGAGACTCGCTGTAGATATGGATATCTGCTGCGGATATTGTTAAGGGGTTTACGTAGCGGCAGAGTGCCGGCGAAGGGGTGTTTTTCATTAGAACGGGGTGTTTATCGTCCGTTAGTTCTGGAGAGAATGCGAAGAAGGATCGTGTCAAGAAATCTTCGGATCGCACGGAGGGGGCTGTGAAATTGGAGACACTTTGGGCAGCGGATCTGATCGCTCGGAGGGACGCAGTGAGGTTGGATTTGACGGTTGCCCCTAATTTTGGAAGGGCTCGGAAGGAGTTCGACCTGTATACTGGCATCTTTGTGGGAGTTTCATCGATGTACATGAGGTTCTCGGGTAATGACGTGGAGAGGAGAGGATGGTCTTCGGGACAGGCCTCGCTGGGCGAGAAGACACGCTGCTTCCGAACGAACGGCAATCGATGGGGAGTGGTAAGGGATGGCGTTGGCGGGTCACCGAGCGGGGTGGGAATATCGTCATCGTTATCTAATGACGGGATAGAGTCTAACGATAATGATCTTACTGAATCAGGGGTCTCTGATCCGGTTCGCAGGTTACTGTCGTCGTCATCATCCAACACGTTTGGAGGACTCAGAAGAACGTGAAGAGAGGATTGCCTTGAGGGTCGGACCATTCCTCCAGGTTGATTTCCAGCTACATCCTCAGAGAACAAGGAATCGAAATATCCTGCATGGCTTCTATCCAATAAATGACTCTGCTTTCGACCAGTCCAAGTCCGTGGTACTGGAATTGCCGTTGCTTGTAGTAGGTTTGAAACATGAAGAGGGACAGAAAGCTCCGGTCGTACCAATGAACTAGAGCGCGATTTCACCGGTTCATTTAGTCGATTCTGTTTCGGCTTGATTTTGAGAGGTGTGATAGTTGGTCTCTGGCATTTTTGCTTAGGGGGAATGAAAACGGGATTTGTTGGTGGATCGAAAATTACAGCCGAGACTACAGGAGCGGCCTTCTCATCCTGCAGCTGGAAGTTTGCATTCATCATCGTAGAGTTGAATCGGAAGGTCTGGGCAGCCATCGCCATGGGCTGTCACCTTCTCAAGGGCTCGATAGGAAGAGAAGGTGGCTATTTCGTGGACTGAGGCGGGAAGCAAGCGTCAACGCACACACGTAGAGACGTAGAGACGTAGAGATGTAGAGAGCCACTCTGAAGTTCAGCTCCTGACAGGCCCAATAGACAGAAAGTCTGCTCTACTCGTAATTTTTGTGTCAACTTTTCCGAGATAAAACTCTTGGAACCATGTCGTCTTATATCACACGACAGAGCAGTTCATATGATCCGCTAAGCGCACGGGCATAGCAGGCCGAAGAAGAAGAGTGGACGGACCACAGAAATAAAAACCTCGTAAAGATGTGAAAGAAAAGAGAGAAAGGAAGAGAAGAGAGGGCTGTCGAAGAGATCGAGAGCCGGAGTGGTTGGTGAAGTGGAATAACCTTGGAATGAACGGAGGGCGGGATTGCGGGATGTCCAGGCGAGTACCTCACCGCACAGAAACCGTGGGACGGTACCTCCACTAATTTCGCCAGCTGACGGATACACGTATGTACTGTACAACATGCGACGTCATGACCGCCAATCGCTGCGCAGAACGAGGATTCGCTTGATGCCCAACAAACCTCAACATCTCAGCACATCTTCCAGGCGCGGGCGCATGGGGGCAGCGCCCGAATCGTTCCTATTGGCAAGGAACAGCGCAACCCCGTGAACATATTGTGCGTCACATACTCTGTAGATACCCAGACTATCCCCAGAGGGTCCGCCGCTGGATCCGCTGACCGTCTTCCTATTCCTTTTGTCCTGTGGGGAATCGATCCACCCGCAGCGGGCCGCTCATCACTGTTGGTACCTGCAGGCACTTCATTCTAAATCCCGATCAGTCAAGCAGTGTTATTTTATTCATTCTTGACCCCAGGACAAGTGCTTCGAGTTGCCTTGGCTTCACATCACAGCGTTCGTTAATTGTTAGTTATTATACTACTCCGTAGTATTCTAGCCCTCCTCCCAGCCGAAGAAAGCAGCCACCTATTTGCTTCACTTCCTGTAAACCTTTTCAAAGTACTAACTAGTAAATAAACTAATGCGTGAAGCAAACTTTCGATCAGCCGACCAGTTTTGTTTTCGCTATGAAAATCTTTCTAACATAACAAATAATAACTAGAGTCTTCCCTCATTAATAAAGGGTATAGATCGAACACTCTACACTCGTGGACATCTCAATCGAGAGGTTTCAACAACAACTACCTGTGATGAGATGATCCCATACGCCTCAATTCCTCTATGCCACTCGAAGTCGAACCAGCTTTCTTTTCTTTTCAATTCTATCAGATAAAATTGCTCTAATCTTATTTATAATAAAGATCTTCCTCTTATCACTAACAGATGTAATCACTGTCATAATATTAACAAATTCTTTCATTTCACCATCAATCATATCATCTTCCTCCTCTCCACTATCAGATTCTATATCACATATGCTAATAACATTTACTGATGATAATGGGGTTTCATTAAAAACAATTTCGTACAACCCAACAGATCATCCAAAAGAAACATTTATTTTAACGTCAACAAATAAAATAAAGGGCCAGAACAGAGGCACCATGGAGAGATGCTATCTTCCTCATCCTCCCCCGAATCATCAAAGAAAAATGGAAGACCGCTCACCGCCTTCTTCGCATAAACACCAGTTCATAACAGGATCGATTTCCGCCACAATAACTTCGTCTCCACAATCGGATATCCCGTCAGATCTACAATCGACGAATCCCCAATCCCCGCTGAAGTTGGCTAGCAGTTATTGGCATAACTCTCATACCATATGACGGATTTATGATGGAAATATGCTTCCCGCTCCGCTGCTTGGTGAGCCAAACATGACTCCCCGTTACAGAAACAGCTCGAAATTGGGTGTTGTTTGTACTGCACCTGCACGGCGCGAATTCTACAACTTGGAACTCATACACGAATGTTCCGGTCTCCTTTCCCCGTTGTGCCAATCTCAGACGTTGCATTGCGTTTTTTAAAAGCAGCAAGGAGGAGGGTTTGGGACCTGGAACGCATCAAAAACGGAGATTTCCCAGATAGAACGGCTGTCATTCTCCAATTATTTAGTTGATTGCGTTGGGGTTCTCGATGGTTCATGGACCTTGGCAGTACTTGCTGATGAGTTTTCCCTTGCAATCCTGATATAGCATGTGCATGTTTTCATCATTTCCTCCATTGCTGGTTGGTTTGGCGTATCTAATACAGACGTAGTTAATGACCATTTGTTTATCATGCAGAATTCCTTTACTTTCTGCGTTTTCGTTCTTTGTTTTGTCATCGTCTCTCTCGAAGAGTCTCCACACCTCTGTCTGGTATACTATGTAGGCCTGGAAGAAGGTGGTAAAATGCGATTTCTCCGTAGAACTCGTATTCTGTGCCATCTGATGTCGGCAGCGTTCATAGATCCCATGAGTAGTTGAAGTAATTTTTTGCGGTTAGAGTCGGCTGAGCCCGAGATCGTTACAACTTCGCGTTTGTAAGAAATTAGACCAAGCCCCAAGACGTACAAATTCTTTCTTCGCAACCGCATACTATATATATATATATATATATATACAGCGTTCAATTGCACCGCGCGGAAAGCCGATGGGGCTACGCGATAGAGATATTGGGTGAACTTCCGTGTAAATTATCGGCCTTTGGAAGAAAGAGATATGGAAAGCGGATGTGACTACGGCGCGTAATTATATGTGTGGGCAACTTGTAAAATGCGACCTCCTTCGTTTACCGGCCTGTAGATCATCTGTTGGAATTTACATGCACGTCAGATAGATAATAGATGAATCAGTTAGGGAGGGTGTTCAAGAAACATGTAGAGTTGTGCCAACTACGACCCTTTTCACCGAGAATAAAGTTTTGATGTCCCATCATTGGAGAGATCCATAGTCACCCTCCCGCTCATTTAATTTCAACTTCTCTTCAGCCCTCGGTCTCCCTCACACTATCTACTAGTACCCAATATGATTGCCGCCGTCTATACGATGAAATTGCAAGATTAGCAATGCAATGAGTACCACACAGTGAGGGAGTGGTGCGTTCTTCAAATGTTAAATGATGCAAGTCGTCAGGTGAAATGCTGCGCAGCAACAACAGCAAGGCCCGCAAATTAACGGTAGAAACCCAGGGGTATTAAGGGATTTCTTTCGATATGATGCGAAGAGTTACCTTGTTGACTGTCAACCCATCCATGGAGCCTCTGCTATCGTATCCTTTCTTCTCGCAGCTGTATTCGTCTAGGATTGGCTCGACATCCACAAGAACGTCTCCCATATTCGAGTACCTTCCCGTCCAACATTTGTAAATGGTTTCACCGAGAGGAGGCTATAATGAGTGAGGCGAAGATACCACAGGGTAGCAAGACTTCAGAGCTTGTTCTCTCTAAAATCAAGACGAGCCTCCAAATCCCCAATACCTGAAAAATGATATTGAGAGCGAAACTTTTGTGGCTTTCGCTTTATTCTGCTTCATTCAGAGTGAGCACTGGAGATCCTACATCATGTCTCTGAGACAGGCATGATGTAATCTGCATTTATTTCGGAGACCAGTCTTGGAATCAGTACTTGAATAATTAATTTTCCAAATGTGAGGAATAATGAAATCCATTACGCTATTGCGCAAGCATAAAGTTCCGCTGTCATCATCAGAGACGTTCCCTTCTTGCCTAAGATCTCCCTGTTATTATATTTTCTTCGGCAGCGAGCATTGACACACGGGGGAAATGCGGAGGTTATGCACCGAAGCCGGGGACTTGGGAAATCATGCTGGGATAGCTCCAGTCTAGCCATGCAGCATCACGGTTGGCTGCCGCCAGAAGTGCCGATCATATGGGAGCTTGAGAGCATACCCCTAAAGCATGATAGCCTGTTGGCACTCCAGGATGGAGCTGTGTGCAACTCCCAGGTCCACAGCCCATATGAAAATTGAAAATTCTCCGAAAAGCGAAATATTCCCAGAGAGCGCAAGCGCCAGGGTTCAGCTGCGATGGGCTTGGCACGAAACCAACCCCCTTGTTCTCGAGTGGTTTGGATCAAATGAAAATCACAACTGAATACTGCAAAGGTGGGACGAGTAGTTAACCAGTGAATTATGCTGGAGGTTTACAAAAGATCTGAGGTTGCCAGCTTCTTCCCTCACTCAATGCTGAGCGTACTCATTGCAATGCTTGCTTGTTGAGTAATTTGCACCGCATGTCACCTGACTGGGGCCACCAAGTCAGGCAAATCCTCTCACGACACCCGACACTGCGGGATGTTGACTGCGCCTCTCATCCTCCTCCGCCCGTTCAACATCAACTGCCTGGCCACAGCATCAACACAGGATACACCCACCGTTGTGAATTCTTCCGGTATCCTGCGATTCCGCCCCTTTCGAACATCCCACTTCCATGAGTTTGTATATCGGTCCACAACGCCTGTGCTGTGCCCAACCCAACTGAGAGCGATTAACACAAGCAAATCTGGGGTCAGCGGAGATTGGGACTTTTACATTGGCCTGCCGGCCCCGCTCTTGCCAGATCGCGAGGACTCCCCCATACTCATTGATCCCCTACTTGTTAACCTCTTGTCTTGTCTTCGCCCAACGCTTCCTATTCAACCGCCCCTTGTCAACCTCACCGGGAATTATATACTTTCTTCCACCTTCCCTGCGCCAGGGGAGCATTGCGTTTACACCGAAACTTTCCGCCTTATGCGAGTACTATCTGAGTGGGCTTCTGGGCCGAAGGTTTCTTTTATTTAGTAGAAACGTGGTTTACGATAGTTTGTGAGTGGCTTAAGAGTTCCGAACCGTCTCCTTAGGCACATAATTCTATGTCATTTCATCGTTGGGCATGTGTATTCAACGCCGGAGTGAATCTATCCTAACTACAACGAATATAAAAGTTTGAGCAGATTGCCGTTTCTCCCTATATTTATACTTGCATCTAAAATACCCTAAATACCCCGCCCTGGTCGTGATCATCCAATACCGCTACCGCTACCGCTACCGTTGCGCCAATACGTCCACTACATGGCTGTGCGCTAGACTATATTGTTGCACTTTTTTTCTTAATTATGCCCCGAGATTGTTGACTCTGTCCTACTTGCACATCTGTCCGCGTGGCGGAAACTTCAATGGCCGATGACAATGGTAATCAATTGGGGACGGAACAGCAGCCTGTCCGACCAGATCCTGCTGCTCAAGTCGGCAAGTCCAAATCCAGGTTAAAGTCTAGAGACGGCACTACGGCAGCGAAACGACGATGTGTCAGCACTGCGTGCATTGCCTGCAGGAAAAGGAAATCGAAGGTATTAACCTTCCTGCACTAATCCTATCAAGCAATGAAGTTTTCCAGCTGATGGGGTGCTCGTGTAGTGCGATGGAAATACACCTACCTGTGCTGCTTGCGCATCCGTCTATCATACGCCATGTTTGTTTCCCCTCACGAAATTCCAAGATCGAATACTAATTCTTACCATCAGGTATATACGACCCCAATTCAGATCACCGTCGGAAAGGAGTCTATAAGCAAGACATCGACAACTTGAAAAATCGCAATACCACCCTCCAGACACTGGTTCAGGCAATCCTCAATTATGACGAAGCTGACGTGCCGGAACTCGTCCGACAAATACGGTCATGTGAGGATTTAGAACAAGTAGCAGATTCTATTTTAGCGCGAGAAAAAACATCAAGCAAGGCTGTCACCAGGGATGTGGGTACAGACGACGATAATGGTCAAGTTACTGAAGTCCCCCAATTCGAGTCTGAGCTGGCGGGGAAGATGAGCGAGCTGATAATGGACGGGTCTGTGAGGTTTGTTGGAGGCACTTCGAATTTGATATTTTTGCCCGCTGAGTTTTCCTTTGACGAGCCGGATTCCTCTTCGCCTTCATGGAGCAGAGCGAAGATGCAGACGACGCCATAACTGGTTGGACCCGGGTAACGAAAAGCAAAGAA